TGTGTGTGTATGAGTGTGTGTATGAGTGTGTGTATGAGTGTATGAGTGTGTGTATGAGTGTGTGTATGAGTGTGTGTGTATGTGTATGTGTGTGTGTATGAGTGTGTGTGTGTGTATGAGTGTGTGTCTGTGTGTGTGTGTGTGTATGAGAGTGTGTGTGTGTGTATGAGTGTGTGTATGTGTGTGTGTGGACTCAGAGGTGGATGTCTTGCAGAATGCATGCCCCGTGAAGACAGGAGTAAAAGTTTACCACCATCCACATGAAGATACAGGACATTCCCAGCTCCCCAGGAAGTTGCCTGGTTCTAGGCAGGGATTTTTCTTATTCACAGCCAGGAACAGTGCCTGGCATAGTGTGGGCACTCAGCACATGCTCATCGAATGAGTCAATGAGTGAACGAATGTGAGCCTGCTGTTTGCTGTGGACGAAGGATGTTGCCAGATATTTGAGCAAATACTGGGTGGTGGGAGGAGCTTAGGCTCTGAAGTCTGCAGTCTTGGGCCCAACCCTGGGCTCAGCCCCAGCCTCCCAGCCTAGCTGTGGGGCAAGACTGTGAGGCTTGTGGTGCCCACCTTGTCCAGGTATTGTGACGCACTCGCGGCAGCAGGCATTGCTCGAGACAGCACAGGTGCTTGCGAAATGGCTGTGTGTCGGGAACACCAGCTCCTGTGGGTGGCTTTGTGTTCTGGTGGCATTGCCCACACACACAGCTGTGTGCCGACAAGGGTTGTGCAAATAGGGTTGTGTTTGGATGTATGCGATGCCCTGTTTGGGGGTCAGTCTCTGCCTTGCTCACACATCCTCTTCTCCTTTTCACAGACATGCTTCAACTTATCAACAACCAAGACAGTGACTTCCCTGGCCTGTTTGACCCGCCCTATGCTGGGAGTGGGGCAGGGGGCACAGACCCTGCCAGCCCCGATACCAGCTCCCCAGGCAGCTTGTCTCCACCTCCTACCACACTGAGCTCCTCTCTTGAAGACTTCCTGAGCGGCCCGAAGGCAGCGCCCTCACCCCTGTCCCCTCCCCAGCCTGCACCCACTCCATTGAAGATGTACCCGTCTGTGCCCACTTTCTCCCCTGGGCCTGGTATCAAGGAAGAGTCAGTGCCATTGAGCATCCTGCAGACCCCCACCCCGCAGCCCCTGCCAGGGGCCCTCCTGCCACAGAGCTTCCCAGCCCCAGCCCCACCGCAGTTCAGCTCCACCCCCGTGTTAGGCTACCCCAGCCCTCCGGGAGGCTTCTCTACAGGTAAGGGGGATGTGTGGTGGGAGGGGACACCTGGGGTGGGACTCCCAGGAGCACAGGAAGAAGCTTCCGCTGTGATGTGAGTAGAGGTCTGTGCAGGCTTTAGAAACTGGGGCTCCACTCTGCGCTTGAGACACCGTGTTACTAGCAGTCCTGGTGTGCTCGTTGCCAGGGTAGGCGCAACCTCAGACTGGAGGCCTGCCTTGAAGCCAGTGCATTTGCATCAGGGCCCAGGCAGGGACTATCCATAGGAAGCCACATAGAGCAATGACTCATCCAAGGCCAGTTGGTGATAGAGACCTGAAGAACAGGTTGAAAGTGGGAAAGGGCAGTCTGTGCCTGCAGCCCCAGGCTTTATTTCTGCAGGGAGCCCTCCCGGGAGCACCCAGCAGCCGCTGCCTGGCCTGCCACTGGCTTCCCCGCCAGGGGTCCCGCCCGTCTCCTTGCACACCCAGGTCCAGAGTGTGGCCCCCCAGCGGCTACTGACAGTCACAGCTGCCCCCACGGCAGCCCCTGCAACGACCACTGTGACCTCGCAGATCCAGCAGGTCCCGGTGAGGGGTCTGGCCAGGGGTTGGGGAGGGCACGGCCCCTGGCCCAGCCACACAGCTTACGGCCAAGCCCTCTCCCACCCTCAGGTCCTGCTGCAGCCCCACTTCATCAAGGCAGACTCGCTGCTTCTGACAGCCATGAAGACAGACGGAACCACTGTGAAGGCGGCGGGTCTCAGCCCCCTGGTCTCCGGCACCACTGTGCAGACAGGGCCTTTGCCGGTGGGTGATGTGGGCAGGGCATAAGGGAGTGGGGTCTGCACACACACATGCCCACCTGGTAACATGTGCCTGGTCCTGCAGACCCTGGTGAGTGGCGGAACCATCTTGGCAACAGTCCCGCTGGTTGTAGATGCGGACAAGCTACCTATCAACCGGCTGGCGGCTGGCAGCAAGGCCCCGGGCTCAGCCCAGAGCCGTGGAGAGAAGCGCACAGCCCACAACGCCATTGAGAAGCGATACCGCTCCTCCATCAATGACAAAATCATTGAGCTCAAGGATCTGGTGGTGGGCACTGAGGCAAAGGTGTGGAGAGGCCTGCAGGGGCACAGACCGGGGTGTCCCTAGGAAGGAACAGATCAGGGGCAACTGGAAGGAAGAGAGGGAGTGAGACTGAGCCTGGACAAGCAGGGAATTGGGCTTCAGCATCCCCAGGCCTGGCCAGCCTCGTTTATCTAGTTAAACGGGTTTGCAGGCCTCTTCAATAAAGGTGGGGCTGTGCTAGGCATGGGGGATGCAGCAATGAACCAGACAGACAAAAACTGTCCCTCAAAGAGAAGCCCATGTTCTGGTGGGGGAAATGGACAGTAGGCAGGATGAATAAGTGCTCGAGTCCACCACATTTGACTCATTGCAGAGAAAGCAGGAAGAGGGATGGTGAGGGTCCCCTGGTGGTAGCCAGGGAAGGCCCCCCTGAGACGGCGCCAGGCACAGCAACAGCTAGCCAGACCCTGCTGTTTGCATCTTACATCCTAACCCGATGCTCGGCCTGGGAGGTGGGTGCTACTAGGCGAGGAACATTTCAGGTAGAAGGAACAAGTGCAAAGGTCCTGAGGCAGTAGTGTTGCAAAGCAGCTCCGCAACCCCTTGGTAGGGCCCCCCAACCCCACAACCCCCGACCTCACGGGCCACCTGTGCTCTCCTCTTCCTTTCCACACCATGCAGCTGAATAAATCTGCTGTCTTGCGCAAGGCCATCGACTACATTCGCTTTCTGCAACACAGCAACCAGAAACTCAAGCAGGAGAACCTAAGTCTGCGCACTGCTGTCCACAAAAGCAGTGAGTCTTGGCTTTATTGAGCTCCAGTTGGGCCTCTCCTCTAGCCTGGCTCTGCCCCCCCGGCCCTGCCCCTGTCCCTAGCCCCACCCTGCCCTTGGTTCTGGCCCACCCTCTGCCCCGCCTACCTCACCCTTGGCTCTAGCCCCGCCTTCAGCTCTAGTCCCTTGGTTACCTCTGGTCCTGAAAGAGCCCTGGTGCCTCCCTTTGGCCCTAACCCAGCCCCATCGAAGCTTCCTGGGCCAGCTTTAGGAGCTACAGCAGTCCCTAGACCCCCAAGGGCCTAAGCTCTCATTGGGGTCACACATGCAACCTTTACTCCTGGCTCTGTTCCTTTCGGCCCACAGAATCTCTGAAGGATCTGGTGTCGGCCTGTGGCAGTGAAGGGAACACAGATGTGCTCATGGAGGGCGTGAAGACTGAGGTGGAGGACACACTGACCCCACCCCCCTCGGATGCCGGCTCGCCCTTCCAGAGCAGCCCCTTGTCCCTTGGCAGCAGGGGCAGTGGCAGTGGTGGCAGTGGCAGTGACTCGGAGCCTGACAGCCCAGTCTTCGAGGACAGCAAGGTTGGGCCCTGCCACGGTGCCCCCTTCCCCACTCCCAGCCATATCCTCTGAACCTCAGGACAGGGTCAGGAAGACCCTAACAGATCCTACCTCCCATTTCATAGACAGAATAACTGAGGCCTGGAGCCATGTGGGGTCCCACAGTAAGGTGGGCAGAATCCTGACCCCCCTTCCCAGCCTCATGGTCTCTGGGGTCCCTCTGGTTCTGCCCTCACCACCCTGTCCACCCCTACCAGGCAAAGCCAGAGCAGCGGCCGTCTCCGCACAGCCGGGGCATGCTGGACCGCTCCCGCCTGGCCCTGTGCACACTCGTCTTCCTCTGCCTGTCCTGCAACCCCTTGGCCTCCTTGCTGGGGGCCCGGGGGCTTCCTGGCCCCTCAGATATCACCAGCGTCTACCACAGCCCTGGGCGCAACGTGCTGGGCACCGAGAGTAGAGGTGGGACTGGCCAGCCCTGGCATCTTTGGGAGGGCGCTCTGGGGGAGCCTCCAGGCTTGTGAACTTGGGGCTCTGGATTTCCTGGGAGCTGTGTCCCCAGCTTTCCCTCTGTCCATAGATGGCCCTGGCTGGGCCCAGTGGCTGCTGCCCCCAGTGGTCTGGCTGCTCAATGGGCTGCTGGTGCTGGTCTCCTTGGTGCTTCTCTTTGTCTACGGTGAGCCGGTCACGCGGCCGCACTCAGGCCCCGCCGTGCACTTCTGGAGGCATCGCAAGCAGGCTGACCTGGACCTGGCCCGGGTAAGGGGTTGCCCCTGGCAGAGTGGGCAGGGCAGGGACCCCAGGCTGGGAGGGTGCTGGGTGTCAACCCTTGTTCCTCTCTCCCTGTGCACACCATGAATCTGTCCTGTCCTCCCTGTGCCTGGCCGTGCATCTGCAGACCCCCACCGCCCCTCCAGAGCCTGCTGTGGATGGCTCTTCTGAGCTGTGGGGCAGCTGCTCTGACCTCACTTTTCTCACCTGGAAAACCCTCATCCACAGGGGGACTTTGCCCAGGCTGCCCAGCAGCTGTGGCTGGCCCTGCGGGCACTGGGCCGGCCCCTGCCCACCTCCCACCTGGACCTGGCTTGTAGCCTCCTCTGGAACCTCATCCGTCACCTGCTGCAGCGTCTCTGGGTGGGCCGCTGGCTGGCAGGCCGGGCGGGGGGCCTGCAGCGGGACTGTTCTCTGCGGGTGGATGCTCGCGCCAGCGCCCGAGACGCAGCCCTGGTCTACCATAAGCTGCACCAGCTGCACACCATGGGTAGGATGGAGCGTGGGGCGGGCTCCGAGGTGCTCCCTGCTGCCTGTGCTCCACCCACAGCCTCATGCCTGCTTGCCTTCCAGGGAAGTACACAGGCGGGCACCTCACTGCCACCAACCTGGCGCTGAGTGCCCTGAACCTGGCAGAGTGTGCAGGGGATGCTGTGTCTGTGGCAACGCTGGCCGAGATCTATGTGGCAGCTGCATTGAGAGTGAAGACCAGTCTCCCACGGACCTTGCATTTTCTGACAGTGAGTGGGTGGCGGGGGGGT